GCCACCCGCGGGGCAGACTAAGCCTCATGCCCTCGGGGGCGCCGGCAGTCGGCGGTCCGAGGAGAAGGAGGGGAAGGGGGAGGAGGAGGAGGAGGAGGAGGAGGAGGAGGAGGAGGAGGAGGAGGAGGAGGAGGGGGAGGAGGAGGAGGAGGAGGAGGAGGAGGAAGAGGAGGAGGAGGAGGCGGAGGAGGAGGAGGAGGAGGAGGAGGAGGAGGTCAGTCGCTACAATCCCGAGGATGAAAGCCCGCTCAACGTCAAAAAGGAGGAGGAGGACGAGGAGGAGCGCATGGCGGGATGATGAGTTCGATCTTCAGTTGTTGCGCACCCCTGCAGCAGCGGAGGCACTGTGCCTCCGAAGCAGCTCTGGCTTTCAAGTGCCCCTTCGTCTCACGACGAGCAGGAGCCTTGAGCACGATGGGCGAGCTCTTGTTGCTCCTGGGGAACCTCGCCTCTGGAGCCCTTGCCAGTTTGGTGGCGCCCCGTTGCCGTGGCCGAATTCTCAATTATTGCTCCCGGCCAATTTGGGTGGGCAGGTGCTCTTCTTGCACTGAGTCGACAGCACAGGATCCGCACTCAGGTCGAAGTCAGAACGGCATGAACATAAACGTTGGCGCTCCGCCAAACTTTGATGTTTATGTTTTGTGGTCCTCCTTCTGACTGAGTGGACAGCCCTCTGCTGTCGCGCTTAGCACAAGATCCGCATTCATGGCAAGGCAGAAAGCCCGTGGGCTGCTCTAAGTGCTCGTAGTAGGAGAGGTCATGTCCTCTCGGTCCGGTGACTGCATCAAAATGATGCCTGTAGTGACCAGGGCAGTGAGACGCACAACATTGCTCAAGCTTTCTCTGAGCTCTGGTATGACGGCCAAGCGAGCACCTCCGGCGTCCGCTCATTAGCGAAATCGCGTTTTGCCTGAGGAGCTTTCCAGAGGCCTCAGGGGGAGGAGGAGGAGGAGGAGGAGGAGGAGGAGGAGGAGGAGGAGGAGGAGGAGGAGGTGCTGGAGGCTCGGAAGTCCACCAGACTTTGAGAAGTGTGTCAAGCCTTCCCCGAAGACCGACAAAAAGCTCTCAGAAGGCGCGAGGCCTTTTGAGAAATCCCGCCGCCTTCGGAGAAGGCCTTCTCCCTCTCACTGCCCCCACTCGCTCGCCGCCGACAAGTAGAGCAGCGTCGCTGAGGTGCTGCTCTGCTTCAGGATGGCTTGGTTGACTGCGAAGGTTCGCTGCGGCCTTGGGATCTCGATCAGCTGCAGCACTGCTGCACGCAACTCGGCAGCCGCCGGTGCCTCTCGCTGGGGCTTTCGCCGGGGCTCCCAGACCTGCTTGGCATGGGGACGGACAGCGCGTTTATTTTGTGAGGGCGCGAGGTCGCTGGCTTAGTGTCTTGGAGCCCTGGTGGTGTTCAGGCTTCGGCACGACATACCAAAATCTAGCAACCAACCCTGCACCCTGCAAAAATAAATGAGTGTTGCATTTCTGGGCCTGCCTGGGGGTCGTTCTGGGGCTCGTTTGGGCCTTCTTGGGGCCCGTTTGGGCCGTCCCGGGACCCTCTTGGGCCGTCTTGGCGGGATTGGGCCGTCTTGGGGCCTTCTGGGAGCATTCCTGGGTCCTCTTGGGGATCTCCTGTGTCCCTCTTGGGGCTCGCTTGGGGACCTTTTGGGACCCTCAGGGGCCTTTCTTGGTCCGTCTTGGGGCTCTCTTGGGTCGTCTTGACGCCCACTTGGGCCGTCTTGGGGGTCTCTGGGGCCGTCTTGAGGCGGTCTTGAGAGCCTCCTGGGCCGCTTTGGACGCGGTGAAGACCAAAGAAGCAAATAGGCAAAAAGCATGTTTTCCCTGGGGAGTGGGACGATTTTTCTCTTGGGGCGTCTTAGGGGGCCACCTGGGCTGTTTTGAAACCATATAGGGCCCTCTTTGAACGCTCTTGGGCCGTGCCCTCTTGGACCGCTCCGACGCCGTTTTGGAGATGTCTTGGGCGCTTTGGGGCTGTCTTGGGCCGTCTTGGGGCCTCTTAGGCACTCTTTGGGCTGACTTGGGCCGTCTTGGGCAGACACTTGCAGAATCTCGGGGCGATTAGACCTGGGCCGGCACGGAAACGGAAAGAGCGCTTCAAACACATTAACCGAAGTTATTCACACCACCATTCGTACTGGGAGCCTTGGCGTTGAGACTTTGTTCCGTCACCCCTCGCTCGTCTTGTGCTCCCTCGGCCCTTCAGCGGGCAACTGCGGAGCGCTTCTTCCGTCTGACCCCCCAGCACTACGTGTCTGATTCGACGCCGTCGGTGCAGGTGGCGGTCGAGGCCGCAGGAGGCCCGCTACATGAGGAGGAAGGAGGGATGCTGCCTGCCGCTGCTGCTGCTGATGGGGTGGTGGAGGTGTGCACTTCTCTCGGACATCCCGCCGAACGATTCGGCCCCGCCGTTATCTGTTTAGCCTGCGGGGCCTTTTCGATTAATGGTGGTCGGAATCCGAAACTCACGGCGAAGGCCTGTAAAGGCCACTCTCACGTGGCCTCAACGCGGGCCAACGAGGAGAGCAACATTTCTAGGGTCCTCAGGGGCCTGCATCCCCGATCGGGCGTGCCCTTGTCGCTCGATTGATGCGTGTGCTGCGCCTCGCCACTCTCAGCCAACTTTCCCGCTGAGATGGTGGCCGAGCCTCGGCACATAAGAGCTGGGCAAGGGTGGCCAATGCCCCCTGCCTGGCTTCTCACGCTCCTGCTGGGGGGTGTCAGTGACCCTGACACTTCTTTCATCGCTGCCTGTCTCCTCCCCCTCCTCCTCCTCCTCCTCCTCCTCCTCCTCCTCCTCCTCCTCCTCGTCCTCGTCCTCCTCCTCCTCCACCTCCGCCTCCGCCTCCGCCTCCGCCTCCGCCCCCGCCTCCGCCTCCTCATCCTTCAGCGTCCTCCGCCTCTTCCGCCTCCTCCGCCTCCTCCTCCTTTCCCTCCTCCTCCTTCTCCTCCTCCTCCTCCTCCTCTTCCTCCACCTCATCCTTCTACCCCCTCCTCCTCCCTTGGCCCCATCCTCGTTCCTCCTCCTCCTCCTCCCCCTCCTCCTCCCCTCCTCTTCCTCCCCCTCCTCCTTCTGCCTCCCTCCTCCTCCCTTGGCCTCGTCCTCGTTCCTCCTCTTCCCTCTTCCTCCTCTTCCTCCTCCTCCGCCTCCTCCTCAACCTCCTCATCCCCCCCTCCTCCTCCTCCTCCTCCTCCTCCTCCTCCTCGTCCTCGTTCCTCCTCGCCCTCCTCCTCCTCCTCCTCCTCCTCCTCCTCCTCTCCTCCTCCTCCTCCTCCTCCTCCTCCTCCTCCTCCTCCTCCCTCCCTCCTCCTCCTCCCCCTTCTCCTCCTCCTCCTCCTCCTCCTCCTCCTCCTCCTCCTCCTCCTCCTCCTCCTCCTCCTCCTCCTCCCCCTCCTCCTCTTCGGGTGCGCTGGGGAGCCTATGGGGGCCCTCTTGGGCTCTCTTAGGGCCCTCAGGGCCCTCTTGACCGTATTGGGGCCGTCTGGGGGCCATTTTTGGCCGTTTTGGGCCCCTTTGGGGCGCCTCCGGGGCCGTCTTGGGATGATATTTGGGGCCGTCTTGGGCCCGTCTGGGGGCCCTCTTGGACCGTTTTGGGCTTGTTTGGGGCGCCTCCGGGCCGTCTTGGGACGATATGTGGTGCCTCCGGGCCGTCTTGGGCTCGTCTGGGGATGAAACGGGCCATGGGACTCACACCACCGTTCGTACTGGGAGCCTTGGCGTTAAGAGCTTGTTGGTCACCCCTCGCTCCTCCTCCTCCTCCTCCTCCTCCTCCTCCTCTTTCTCCATTTCTTTCTCCTCCCCCTCCTCCTTCTCCTCCTTCTCCTCCTCCTCTTCCTCCTCCCCCCCCTCCACCTCCTCCTCCTCCTCCTCCGCCTCCGCCTCCGCTCCGCCTCCGCCTCTGCCTCCTCCTCCTCCTCCTCCGCCTCCTCCTCCTCCTCCTCCTGCTTCTTTCCCTCCTGCTCCTCCTCCTCCTCTTCCTCACCCTCCTCCTTCTACCTCCCTCCTCCCTTGGCCTCGTCCTCGTTCCTCCTCCTCCTCCTCTTCCCCCCTCCTCCTTCTACCTCCCTCCTCCTCCCTTGGCCTCGTCCTCGTTCCTCCTCTTCTTCTTCCTCCTCCTCCTCTTCTTCCCTCCTCCTCCTCCTCCTCCTCCCCCCCTCCTCCTCTCCTCCTCCTCATTCTCCTCCACCTCCTCCTCCTCTTCCTCCTCCTTCTCCTCCTCCTCCTCCTCCTCCTCCTCCTCCTCCTCCTCCTCCTCCTCCCCCTCCTCCTCTGCGGGCGCGCTGGGGAGCCTAATGGGGCCCTCTTGGGTCCTCTTAGGGCCCTCTTGGCCGTATTGGGGCCGTCTGGGGGCCATTTTTGGCCGTTTTGGGTCCCTTTGGGGCGCCTCCGGAGCCGTCTTGGGATGATATTTGGAGCCTCTTAGGCCGTCTTGGGCCCGTCTGGGTGCCCTCTTGGACCGTTTTGGGCTTGTTTGGGGCGCCTCCGGGGCCGTCTTGGCACGATATTTGGGGCCTCTGGGCCGTCTTGGGCCCGTCTGGGGAAGAAACGGGCCATGGGAGCCGCCCGGGAGCCGCTTCACTCGAATCAATACGAGGGAAACGGGCCCTTAGACTTTTGCATCCGGCCATCGCCCCCCCCCCTGGACCCCCCCCTTAAGGGCTTCGCCCCCTATCAACGTCATCACTCGTACCTCGCTCTTTCCGTCACCTGGGCCGGATCGAGAACGGAAAGAGCGTTGCAGCAATTTGCCCGAGAGGGCTCATGGCACCCTTCGCTCTTGGGAGCATTGCCGTTAAGAGCTTGTTGCGTCACCGCTCGTTCTTGGGAGTTTTGTTGGCAAGCGCGTGTTACGTCACCGCTCTCTGTTGGGAGCCTTGCTGGGAAGAGGTTGTTGCGTCACCGCTCTCTGTTCAGAGTCCTCGTGCCCAGAGATGTTTACGTTGCCGCCGGCTCTTGGGAGCCTTGGTGGTAAGAGCTTGTTGCGTCACCGCTCGCT